CTGCACAGGCAGAAAAACATTAAAGTTTGCTTTGAGGTGGGTATTATCAATCCAAAGATAAACTATTGCTTTGTCAATTGCATCATAACTTCAGCATGTGATTATGAGACCTCCTATGAACAGATTACAGAGACTGCATACCAAACCACCAGAGGAATGTCCCCTATTGGTCATTGTGCTGTGGGTTTGCAGTGTTTCCTGTGCCTGTATAAACAAAAGCAGTCTCTCCACCCACATGCTGCAACTCTTCAAGTCCAAGCTGATATGAGCTGTTAAGCCCAACGCAGACACATCACTGGCAAGCAAACAAATCGTATCCTTTTGATGGGAATAAAAGCAGTAAAAAAAATTGAAAGACTGGTACTAAAGAGACGGTAACATCAACATCCCTCATCTTGGCCATACCCCTTTACCACCATGCAGTGCAGGGCAGCGAGTCGCCTGCTTCTTCTGGGTACAGTGCGAGTGGCTGTCTGGGCCTATTAATACAGTATTTTTGCAGTATTTCTTTTATACAAAACAGAAAAGCTGCCAGCTCAATGAGATACTAGGAGAAGAAGACCAAGAGGTCCTTAAAACCATCAAGGACTACAGATTTTATGGATATAAGATTGTTGTTGTTGTTTTTAATATCAACATCACAGCACACTGAACAAATAGAAATAATAACACTGTGACAGTTCCAAATGATTAGAATATATTTTCTAGTGCCTTTAAAAGGGATCCTGAACTGCTCCCATATCCCCTTCTATTCAGTCTCAGTGAGGTGGTAATCACAGAAGCTTTTTTTTCTGAAAAGACCTCAACAACCTGCCTGAGATAGGGACTCAAACATTCTGGGAAAAACAAATTTAAGTCTCTCGTAGCAATTACCTTTTTAATCTTATTTTTTCATCTTTATCCATCTCATAATCAAGTTAGGACTGCAATGAGTCCTCTTAGTTTTATTCAAGCTAAAGTCAACCTTCAAATTTTCCTTATAGTTACTTGAAATTTTAACTAATAAAAAAGCAATAACATGATTTTTAAAAACTCATCATTAATGTTTTGGCTATCACCAAAAATGATACTTTTTTCCCTCAAAGTAACTGTATCAAAAGAGGGGATCCATCCAACCATTCTCTTCTGCTTATCCTTTTCAGGGTCACGGGAGTGTGATGTGCTATTGTCAGAAGGTGTGCTGTGCCTCCCAGCACAGCCTCAAGAGCATCATAGAGCTGTTTTTAACCCATTACAAGGACTGTTATCTGCTCCTTTGTGCAAGAAGGAATGTCCTGTCCTTACAAATTGACTTCTAACAGGCAACTGGTGTGAATCCAATCAGAAACAGACTTCATGAGGATGTCCTGCAGCCCTCTTGTAGGCCCTGTGCTCCCTGCCCGGGACGGTAGAGCAAGACTGGCATTGGACATGAAACACCAGAGTTGGCAGGTCCACCACCCTGTGCTTTTTACAGATGAGAGCAGGCTCACCCTGAGCACATGTGTAAGATATGAAAAGGTGTGGAGAAAGTTATGCTGCCTGCAGCATCATTCAGCATGACTGGTTTTGGTGGTGGGTCAGTGATGCTCTGGGGAGGCATCTCCACTGAGAGCAACAAAGACCTCTACAGGCTAGTCAACGGCACCCTGACTGCCATTACATATTAAGATAAAATCCTGGGACCCAGGGTCAAACCTTACGCTAGTGCAGTAGGTCCTGGTTTCCTCCTGGTGTATGAAAATGCCTTGTCTCATGTGGCATGAGAATGCAGGCAGTTCCTGGAGGATTAAGGAAGTGATGCCATGGTCTGGTCCCATGCTCATCTTACGTAAATCCAACGGAAGATGTTTTGGGTGTCTTTGAATTCAGCCCTCTGTAGGTTGATCATTTTCATCAGACAATTTGTGTTTGGTATCCTTTCACTCCTTTCACATTACTTAGTCTGTATCAGTATAGATATCCAGCATGATTGCTTCCCCATTAAGATCTGATCTGTTTTTTATGTTTGTAACAGTGTTTGGGCACAAACAGCCCAAACACTGTGGATGGGTCTGGTTCAGTCATTTTTATTAGCAAAGGGGAAGCAGATGGATTTGGGTAGATCCACATCCACAATCAACAAAGGTTAGCATCAGTCTCTCTGGCACAGGCAACCAGGACGTGTTGCATCCAACTTGGGTTTGTTTTGTGTGGCAGCTGTGAAGTTAAATGCAGAAGTTTTCCAACAAGAGTCCACAAAACAATACAGACAATACAAAGTTCTCTTTACAGCAACTCTCTTCTACATTTACACCAGCATTTTGTCTCATTATAGTTAATCTCTCTGTGCTGTCAAGCGTCATTTGTACAGAACCCTCCACAATGTTTAGGACAAAGATGTAATTCTTGTGGCTTTGACTTTCAGCTTTAATTCAAGGGGTTTTAAAATATTTTTGCATGAACTGTTTAAGTATTACACCAATTTTTTATAAACAATCGCCCATTTTCATTGGTTCAAAATTAACAGCACAACTGACTAAGGAGCAGTTTCATGACAAACAAAGCAGGAATAATATTAGTTGATTCAAAGTGTTGTATTTTATAGCTGTTTTATAGCTTTTTACTGTACTTTTTAATGCAATTTAAAATAAAAGACTCAAAGAGATGTTAGTGAGAGATGTCATCATGAGGCTGAAAAACCCAAATAGACCTATAAGAGAGAGTAAAAACTTTAGAAGTGGCCAAGTCAACAATCTAGTGCATTGTGGAAAAAATGAATAAATGCATTGATTAGCTCAGCAACACCAAAAGGCCTGAAAGAAGACACACAGAAGACAGAAGTGCATGACGAACAATTATTTCCCTGGTTATAAAAAAAAACAAAAAACTTTTAACCAAGTCAAGAAAGCTCATGAGGAGGCACGTGTACCGGAGTCTACGATCACGAGATGAGCAGAAATACAGAGGCTTACAACAAGGTGCAAACTACTGGTTACATCCAGAACTGAAAGGTCAGATTAGACTTCAACCGTAAAACATTTAAGAGCCGTCAGAGTTCTGTAAAAAAAAAAAAAAAAAAAAAAGTAGAACAAAACCAGGCGACTAGTGTTCATCAATGGTGTCCGTGTGTTGTAGACTTGAGGCACTAGCTGCAAAGTCAATTTAACCCTTTCTCACATTGCGGTCACTACAGTGGACAGCTATTCAAAGGCAGTTTTCTTGTCTTTGTGTCAGTGTTGATGGTATACTTGCAGATAAACCACTACATATGTCACTCCATACTCTGCCATCCGCTGGTCGTTTAATGTTACTATAGATGTATGACGTGTTTCATTGTAATTATTGTTATTTAACCCTTTCATGCATGAATTATGATAACCTCAATCAGGATTTTTTCTTAAGTATTTTATTAATCTTTTCATGCCTAAAGATTAATAAAAATACTTAAGAAAAAAAATCCTGATTGCGGTTGTCATAAATTCTCATCTCAGCATGTCACGTAAGGCCATTTGTCACATGCTGCCTACGTCTCACCATTAAGCACAACTGCTCTTTAAACATCTGGACCACAGCAATGCTGGCTGCTGATAGAAGAACTTTCCCATTTTAGAGGCCTAAAGATAGTTTTAGGTTGGTTGGTATTAGGAAGTTTGTGGGGAAATTGTGGCATTAGTCACAAGTTCATCAGCCAGGAGAGTGTGGTTTGCCTCCCACTTGGACCTTTGTGTTATGCTCTTGGTTTTGCTTTTTCCCCACTTATTGATTAGTTTCTATTTATTTATATATTTTTTATTTTGCTTTAACTTGCTTTTTAGTTTTAGGCACTAACAAATAGTAGTAGGCACTTAAAGGTCAGGGTTAAGAAAAGGGTTAGGGACCACAGCCCCCCACAACAGTAGCATTGCACTTTGAAAAATGATGAGTTGTCAAAGCTTCATAGGTAATCCACTGCTGCCAAAAGACACGTTGTCTGTTTTGTCAAAAAGCAGAAGCTTTGACAGTATGTCTTAAAGGAAGCCAGAGGCAAACACAGGGAGAGCCGTTCAACGGGACCACATGGCGATGCTCTACAGAGAAAACAACCTTCTTTCCCAACTACAACTGATGGGCACAACACTGGAGAAAAGCTGTTTACTTCCTGAATAGCAAGTGAGTTACCCAAATAAGAAAACAGCCTGAACAATGTTTCTGAGCCAAGAGACACAGTCCATTTCAAATCTGTTTCTCTTTCACTCTGACTCATGTTCTCCCCAGTTGGACGGTACAATAATAACCTCCTCATGACTCTGCAGACAGCAATTTAAAAATGTAAAACATCCAGACACTACGACTCATTCACGAGACGCATGTTCTCCTTGGGAAAAGAATTAAACGAGAAGCCGGCAGATAAAAGATGGAGAGGATTGCAGAGGAAAAACAATGCATGGATGGATGGAAACAATAATGGGAGCTGCTGCAACTGACTGCTAGCGATATGGGAAAAAATACAAGGCACACTGTTAACTGGGAGATCTTCCTCGCTACCACCAAGTACTTGCTCATCAGGCAGTGGTTTCGATTTCTTTCCTGGCCACGTTCCTCGACCACACAATTGTTTATACCATAAAAGCACCAAATGAGGGAATATCTTTTAGAATAATGGTATTATTTTACACCAGAGCTCCATTTAATCAAAGAATCCATGTCAAGATACCCTGAAGCTTTTCTGGTGACTTTTTCTAACACTGCAAACGGGTATATTTTCATAACTCTGAGTATACGTAGGAAAAACACACTTTATATTGTCTTTGCTTTAAAATGTTGCCCATCTGTAGTTCATCTACACAATGCCCATCTACACAATTACAGAACATCAGTTTTTGCTTTGTTAAGTATCCCATTTTTGTGAAAGAAAATGATTTTAGAACTTCTGCAGGAGCCGAACCAGAAGAAGAATGAGAGACAGTTGCAACACAGCATCTAGTGCTCTTACGTAGCCTGGAGTAGCAGTTTTAATGTAAAGGTGCTGTTGTGCTGAAAGGTGTTCAGTGCAAACTTACGCATCGTGCACCGCTGTGATCCCTGAGATTTACTCCAGCCGTGACAGCACTGCCCTCCACAGACATTCACCCTGCAAACACCAAACAAGAAAAGGCAGATAAAACAACTAGAACCATAGAAAGCCAGTTAACGTACATGCTGGCACATAACTTGATGCTATCCCAGCATCACCTCTTTTTCTACATTCTTGCACCTAAACACGTGTGTAATTTGGCAGTCTGGTTTCGTCTTCAAATTTCTTCAGCGTAGGTTTTAAATAAAGAAATGGAACATATTAATGTTTATTTGAATTTTTAACACCTAAAAGTTTGATCTTCATGCACATGTTCCATCATAGTTAGGCAGACGTTTTCCAGACTTGAATGCTCACAGAGGGCTTGAGATGTGGTTTGGCCTCGTGACATTAAGTATGACTGGAAAGGCAAGATTTGTCTGTAAAACAGTGTTTATTGTGGTAAGTTTGTTACACTTAAAAAGCGAACTTGAATCTTAAAGAGATTCACACAGACTTGGTTAAGTTAAACTGTAGGAGCTGGATCAGCTAGAGTTTCCAACAAACATCATCAACAAAGAGAGTGGTTAGGTGATGAAGTTAGTCTTAACCTCTTGAGGAGTTTGAGACACATGGCAGAAGCTTGTAAGACACGGGTCTGTTCAAAACAGGATCAAACTGCACTGAGCCATATATATTTGACAGCTGTAATTTCATACACAGATGAATTACTATTCACCCTTTGAGGTGCAAGCCTTGACTGACGATAAGTAATCCTTACCCTAAAGCTATTAGGGTTTTAAAGAAAAATAAAAAAGACATTTTAGGAAAAAAACTGCAATAATTTCATAGAAAAAAACTCAAGTTTTTTGTGTTTTATAACGTTTTAAATGTACGTGTCATAACTAATGCTGACTTTAAACTTATAGGAACTCAGAGATAGACAGGAGATAGACACCATATCTCTGTTCTATCATCACAGACGATATGACATAGCAGGACAATAAGATTGCACAAGCTAACTGCCATAGTAACAAATTGAGTGCATTAATTAACAATGATGTTTTCACTACCTTAACTGCTACTTTCAGATATTTGGACCAGACTACAGTAATTCTATGAACAGAAGAAATGAGGCCAACAAATGGCACAACTCTGATCTCTTTACTGTGAAGGAACATTTCCAAAGTCAGTCAGTCTTCTAGGCTGTTTACATCCCTCTCTCTGCTAACTAACTGCATACATCATCTTGCTGTAACTGACGACTATCCTGCAACTAGGAAATAATTTGTACTTCCTGACCTCGCTTTCTGTCATTTGTGGAAAATGTATTTGAACCTGTTGACATCAATGCAACAATTTGTTGGGAGAGAGTGAGATAGTGTGTTTGCTCAGGGATGACGTGGCAGAAAGGGCCCAAAAAATATCTGCACTGAGGTCACTCCAGTCTATGAGTGTGCAGTGTCGATCTTTGTTTTTTGTTTTTTTACTGAAAATCACGCAATTACGTCAATACCAATAAAACACCTGATGAGGTTTATTTGCTTGTTGTGTATTATGTGAAGGCGACATGTCTTTTTTTATTTTGCAAGTGTATTCATTAGTTTTCTCCTTTGCAATGGAGAGTCTTTTCCAGCTGACTGCGTTAGCAGTTCTGCAGGAATCCCAGAGGAGGCATGGAGGAGACGCTGGGATTTCAGAGCAAGAGCAGTTCCCGTGACAGTCATGGGGTAACTCTTCACTGATAACTCGTCTCTAGTATCCAGGGAAGAGATACCAGATGACATGGAGAGTGCAGCTTCAGTGCTGAAGGAAACTGTCAAGAAGGTGTTCGATATATCCTCTGGACAGAGAAAAGAGGATAAGAAGAGGTGGTAGTGGAATGAAGAAGTGTAGGAAAGTATCCAAATTAAATGATTAGGAAAAAAAGTGGGGAGATGAAGAAAGTAGACAAGAGAACTGGGAGGGTAGGTATATGCCAAAGAGAGAGTTTTAAAGACAGATGGAAAGATGAACATTTAAGGAATAGAGATAGTCAAGATAGATGAGTTAAATTACCCAGAGGTTAAAAGAGTGCAGGCAGGGTGGAGTGGGCCAAGACGAGTCTCAGCTGATTTTTGACATAAGGACAGCAGCAAAGGGGAACAGGAAGATTTACAAGATGGTAATGAGACCTGTTGTTATTAGAGGTGGGAATCACCATACATCCCACGATACGATATTATTGCAATTTTTAAAAATATTTTGCGATATTCAGATTCTGTACATAAAGGTAAACTTTATCAATATTCATTTTATCTAATATCAAAGTCTCACACTCAGTCTTTCTCTCATTTCAGTTTTATTGTTGACAAACTGAACGGTTTGTATTACAGTCTAGTCCAACTTAACTGAATGCAACCATCTGGCACAATTATAGCTATTCTGAACTATGCAATTTATGAAAACTATGCAGCCCCTTCAGCAACTGAAGAATTTGAAAGTAAATTAAAACAAAATATAATTTTACATTAAATAAAAAAGTTTTAAACTTAATTAAAATAAAACATGTCTTAAATTAAAATAAGTAAACTGTCATGTTTATTGCTGCCAAAAAACAAGTTAAACACATTTGGACAGTGTCAGGATTCTTGCTCAGAAAAAGGATCGACATGCTCTGAAGTCGGAGCACAAAAACCTTTGTTGTAACAAAATATCGATTTCTGCTGTCCCTGTATCGATACATTATTAGCAAACAAAATATCACGATGCTACACAGTATCGATTTTTTCCCCCACCCCTAGTTGTTATGTATGTTTTGGAGTTGGTGGCACTGACAAAACAACAGGAGGCCAAGCTGGAGGTGGTAGAGTTGAAGATGTTATGATTTCCTTTGTGAGTGAGTAGAAGCGACAGGATTAGATACAAGTACATCAGATGAACAGCTCAGGTTCAGCAAAGTTAAACAGGCAAGGTTAAGATGGTTTGGAATGAGGGGTATACTGGTTATACTGGACAAGAATTTTGAATATGGAAGTGCCAGGCAGGAGAAAAAAGGAAGATCTCAGAGGATGTAGTGGAGGAGGACATACAGAGGGCTGTGTGACAGAGGAGTCACGGGGATAGGATGAGATGGAGGTTTGTGATCTCTTATTCTTTTTTCACACTCTTTTCCCTCCTCTGGGGGAGACGTAGCCATCGAGGACAGCAGAGGGTTTTTAAGTTCAGCTGAAAAGTCCCGACCCATTCACACATACTGCCAGTGCTGTTTTGCCTTGCATCACATTGTCAGTGATTGCAGACTAATGTGTGTGAAAACTATAACCACTCTTTGCAGTAATTGACCCCAGAGAATGGGGGAGGGGTTTTCATGCGCTCTTAAGAAGCTCCAACATATGAGTCAGCTCTGAAAGAGCTCTGCTTAAGCATTAGTCTATTCTTCCCCATAATTTAGTCAAAAACAGTTTTCAAATCTATCAACACACACTCATGTATAGCACAGGAACAAGGCGTTCACCAGGAAAAGCATGCTGTAAATTATAACTGCAGGAACAGAAACACACTTACAGACTTATTTTGTAACCAAATCAGGTTATGGAGACACTTCGTACTTTGACACACACTTGCAGCCTTGTGTATTCTGGTAAAAATTCAGACTCTTTTCCTTTTGGTAGGGGTGACAGAAATTCACAGCTGAATTTTATTCACTGATTACACATCCCAACATTTTGCCAGGCCACAGAGTGAGCAGCTGAAGCCAGGCGGCGAGACCACACACAGACTGGTGGATTTGTGTTCCCGTACTGGTCGCTTTCCCTCTTTTCATTCTAACCAAAGATTCCTGAGGACACAACTAAACTACTCGACATGTTTAAGCCAACAAACAAACAGATTGAAATCAGCTCCTTCAGCCACTGGTCTGCAGTTTTAATGACTCACGCTTGGCTGGAAACACGCAAGCTTAACGTTGTAGTTTACTCTGCATGTATTTGTGCAACGTTTTGTTGTTTAATTCACAAATCTGCTTTTCAAACTGTGGTTTGACTTTACTGATTACCTGAAGTTCAGTTCACACACCAAGCTGCTGGTGTGTGAAAAGTCCTTCCTTTCAGGGAAGGACTTTTAACAGGACAGTGGTTTTGGCAGTGTCCTGTTAAAAGTCCTTCCCTGAAAGAGACACTGTACAGATGGCAGCACCTGTCCTAATGACCCCCAAACCATCAATACCACCATAGAAGATGGATATTTTACACTGATAGCAACTTCCAGTTACCACTAATTTTCTGCCTGTTGTCTAAAGATCCTCCAGTGCTGATTTTCATTCTTGTCCTTTGCACATAAAGATTTCTTCAGTTTCTCTAAAAGACATGAAATCCCTAAATGCTTTTCAGTTTTATGTTGTTTGCACTTACAATCTTTCACAGAGTGGTGATCAGAGATGGGCAGTAACGCGTTACTTGTAAAGCGTTACCGCGTTACTGTAATCCAATTACTTTTTTCAAGCAACGAGTAAAGTAAGGGATTACTATTGCAAAAACGGTAATTAGATTACCGTTACTTTCCCGTAGGAACGCTGCCTTACTGCGTTACTAAAACCGTGATTTTTTTGCGAGAATGTCTCACGACAGTGACGTAAGCGAGTGCGACGTTTGTGACAACAGCTGTGTGCAGATCAACAATGGATCACATATCGAGTGCGGGAGAGAGTATGAGCGTGCAGCGTTTAAAGCGTGGAAGTACTGACCTTACTTTGAGTTTGGTTCCATAAAAAGTGACAAAAACATTAGCGTCCATCGTGCGTGGGAAGAAAACTTCTTTTTACAGCGAAAAAAAACCCTAAACTTCCAACAAGCACCGAGTAGCTACGACATAATGGGAAACTCACAGAGAAACTCGCGGATTCTTCCACTGACCGCTGCGACTCACCTGCACCAGGGTAAACCTCCGCCTACCTACTCCTGCTTTACAGGTGAAAATAGAGCAACAGGACCGCTGAGTCTTTGATTTTATTTATTTTCTGCTGTGTTTTACTTGCATCTATTTGAAAGACTGAGTGTAAACACACACAAAAATATATTTTATGTGCTGGAATGTGCAGAAAATAGGTTTAAACGTTAAACAAATTTCTTCCAGTCAGTGAATGTTGCATATAATTAAATTTTTGCTTGATGCATAAAGTTAAAAGGTTAAAACTGATAAAACAAGTTAAAAAAAGAGACTTTTCCATTTGATTACATTTTGTATGATGGATTATGCAGAAAAAGTAGAATTGGGCTGAAAGATCTATCGCTTTATCACCTCTTCAGGTTGTAAATCCTGTTTTTAAAAAGTAACTAAGTAATTAATTACTTTTGAAAATAAGTAATCAGTAAAGTAACAGGATTATTTTTGGGGGCGGTAATCAGTAATTAGTTACTGATTACTTTTTTCAAGTAACTTGACCAACACTGGTGGTGATACCCTTGCAAACTGTTTTCTGAAAGACTGGATGAATTATCTTTTTACAGCCTGTAAAAACCTGCTGCTGGAAGGCTACTGCAGGGGCCCAGGCTTGAATTTGCCCTGGGCTTCCCGTGTGTTGTTTCCCTTGCACTCCCTCCCTGCTTTCCCGTCTGTTCTACTGTCCTGTCCAAAATAAAGCCATGTTTAGTGCAACCTGTTGCTAGCTTCAACGTCAAAAGAGGGACATTTGTTTCTTTCACCACTGTGGATCCTGTCACTCTCACCAAGTGACAGCCGGGACAGACTCCAACCCCCTGCTACCCTGTACTGGATGGATGTTCTTACAGGTTAATTTGTCACTCATTTTGTGTGTTGTAGTAAAAAATGTTAAGATTTGGTACTACACTCTAGAGATCAATTTCATTTCAATTCAAATCAGTTCAATGTTATTTATATAACAGCAAATCACAATAACAGTGGCCTCAAAGTGCTTTCTAAGGTCAAGACCCTACAATATCCTGGTACTCGGTGAATAACAAGAACACTGTCCTTTGGAAAATAAGATACAGACCACATCCAGGTCCCATTTAGATGGCACTACTTAAAAATCCCCACACAGAAATGGGCAGGGTCTACATAAATGTATGAACATTTTGTTGTTCATGCTAAATCAGCCCCAGGAGTCAAGCATTAAAAGGCCATCAGTCATGGTACAGACTAATTAGACCCAGTCCACAAAGACCCACAGTTTTATCCGGACAAAGAATGACAACAATATGAGGTATTATGAGAAGCACATCCAAGGGCACAACTCCCCTTGCTCACTAGCAAAGTCCAATCAGAACAGATGTTGGCAGACATGAATACAGCACGGAAAGTGAGCGCTCAGGTTTCACTGACAGTAATCTTAGAAGCACCTGGGTATAAAATCAAGAATGGATGATGAGAACGCTCCAACATGGAGAAGAAGCCTGGAAGCCAGAATCACGAGATTCTGATGAGACTCAAAATGAGAGACGGGTCCTGAATGAATAAGAGGCACAACAAGTTGTACAAAAAGGCAGACCCAACTAGAACTGAAACTGAGCAACACTGGAAGAATATCTGTGAGAAAGGAATTACACACGACCAACACAAAGTGCTTGGTGGACCTAGGAGCAGACCACAGCAACCTCCCAGAACAAGAAGTGGTCAACATCACAATAGCAGACATCCGACAAAGAGACTCCAGATCAACACCAGGGCACAGCTCAGAAGGGCAATGGGAGTAATTGCAGTGTGTCAAAGCACCAGTAATTGGTTGATAGAGCAATACAGCAGAACTTTAACACCTGATTTGAATTGGCTCCAAGAAACCCTACGACTCAATGCCCTGCTCGTGGATCCTGGAGAGCTTGTGTTAAAAACATTCATCAGGTGTTCAGTGGAACTGTGGAAAACAACACTGATTCCAAGGCACACAAGTCACCATCAAGCTTGGAATATACACACTTGATGGTGACTTGATGGCCCACTGCTGTTCTGCATAGAACTAAGCCAGCTCATCACTAAGAGTGGATACAGAGGTAGGCATCATGTAGTGGCCATCAGCCACCTCCTGTACCTATAGGTACCTGTATAGGTATCCCCTTAGAAGGACTGTTTACTAGAGAGCCACCAAGTGTATTTCTTTTAACCAAATCCAATTTCCAATTTTTTGCTGACTGTGTGAATAGTGATTTTTGTAGATTCTGAGTTTTTCTCTAAGAACTCTAATTGACGGCATATACAAACAAAAAACAACTTTTCATTAATATGAAATATAATTGTCATTAAAAAAATATTCAACTTTACATTTTATTTCTCCTAAACAGCAGTAGGTCACAGGATCTTCCCTCACTAATAAAAAACTGAAAATCTATTTCTCTGGTACTGGGAGGAGCTACAAATAGTTACCTGTGAAGGTGACTGTACATCCACTATGAGCTCATATAGTTAACCTTACAAAACAATACCAGGAACAACAGATTTATATCACAAAACAAATGTCCATTACTTACATCAGGACCTTTTCTCTTTTTCACTGGTCTCCAAAAATTTCTGAATAACTGCTTTGATTTTTTGCTCATAATAAGACTGCTAGCTTGTGGCTTCTGGCCTTCATGGTTAGCAGATCTCAAACCCACTGAAACCTCATGGAGGCTGTAGCAGGTCACCTATGAATGTACAAGTTCTGAAAAGCACTTTGAATGTTCATATAGAGTAGAAAAGCGCTTTATAAGAACGAGTTCATTTACCGTTTTCAAATAGTAATTAAGAAATTGCCTCTATGTCTCTACCACCATCAAAACATCACATGAAGGAAAAGACTTGTAAGAGAAACTTGGAGTGTCAATACTAAGATACAGCAAATGGACTGGTTCTCATACAGTATTGGGCTTTTCTAGTCTACCTGAGCACTCACTTTACTACATGCCTTAGTCACACATTCACTTCTTTCTATGCTTAAATGCTTTCTATCTAACATTTACACTCCAGTGGATGTATCAGAAAGCAACGGATATTTGGCCTGCAGAGCAGCCTGAGATCAAACCACCAACCTGCTCTACCTCCTCAGCTACAGCCACCCCAAGTAGCATTGAATCTGCTCTTGCAGCACATGCTCAACGCCATACAAACATGTATGTTCATTGTACCTTTAGTTGTGTCAGTTTTATACTGAAAAACAATTACTACAAAATTGCTTTGTGATTCTGTTGGAATACTGCATCATTAGTGCAGGCAGGCCGAGAAGTCGAACTCAGCCACAATCTCAGATCTCTATGCGAGTCCACATTCAGTGTTTGCTCAGCTGATACCCTTCTACAACTGGTAAATCTCATAGTGCATGCTATTTAGGCAGCTTTAGCCTGGCCATAGTTGCTTTGAATGTGCAAGCCACTTTCCAACCCCCTCTTCCATTTCCTGCTGGTTCAGACATAATCAGTGTCATCACTGTTGTAAGTGGTGCCTGCTCTGTTCTGTGCTAATGCTCTTCTCCTTGGATGCAATCCAGATATTCAGCTGTAATAGCAGGCAAGTCAATGAAGAGTGCCATACCACCAAATACAAATTACTGTGGATAAATACTGTCCTACAACTTACCTGAAATTCATTTAAACTAATCGTGACCTATTAAACAGTTAATACAAATGAGTAGGTCTAGTGTAGCTAAGACAACTCTTGTTCTTATTTAGTATTGTTATTCAATAACAACCTTTACAACCTTGATTAAAGAGTCACAAAGAAATTATATGAGGTCGCTGCCAATAAGAATGATGAGAAAGTGCAACTTGTCTGCTGTTGCGGGTAAAGCAAACTAACAGGACCAGGGTCAGTCAACTTCACCCTGAAGAGGAGAGGCATGACTGGAAGAAACACACCTGTGTGGATATTCCAAGAGGATACTAAGCCTTTGCAACAACGCAGGCCTACACTTAGAGTAACAAAGTGCAGCACGGATTCAGTCACATTCTAACTCTGGAAATAGTCTCAGTTACTGTTATCTGTCTGAAGAGTCGTGTGTTAGCCAGCTAATTTTATTGGGCAATCATCACTGGCCTACTTGGTCCATTAGGCGGGTTAGACGATGTTTGACCTGCGCATTAAGAGAGCAACCAAACTCAAATACACACTGTCAGCTCCTGATAGCGTCAAACAAAAGTCAGCACCTGATGATTGCGGTGTGCTCCTGTGCGCAGGAGAGAGCCGCTTCATGCACAATTGCACAATAAAGTTATGCATACCACTCAGATAGCGCTGTAATATAACCTATAGGTGTCTCGATTTTCTGCTTTTCTAAACTATTTGCTTTAACATAAAAGTTTACAAAAAGTCATGAAATCCATTCCCCGCTACCAAACCCTGTTTCCCTCTTGACACGGTGCCAGTCTCTTACCCGGACAGCTTCAGGAGCTGCTTCTGGCTCTGTTCCTGCCGGACTGCCGGCTGCTGCGGGGCTGACGCCGCTTGCTTCCCCATCCTGCGGCTCCGGACCTGGCCGCCAAAGTTGGCTGTGAGCTCCACATTATACGTGTGCGGTTGCCCCGACAGGCCGTGAAGACTCGAGATGGAGCTGACTCGCACCCCGCCGTTGGCTCCGGCCGTCCCGGGCCCCGGCCCGGGCTGCAGTACGTACAGCCTCCTGAAGCCGCTCTGGCTCTGCTGCCGCTCCGGTGACACACAAAGCGTGAAGAGAAACATCCCAAAGGAAAGGAAAAACCCCAAATATATCCGAGCCATATCCACACACAATGAAGAAGTAAAGATAAAAGTTTGCAAGGGGGGAAAAGGGTCCAGATTCTGTTCTGTAAAAAAAACCTCCTCACTTCTTACGAGTAAGAAAAACGTGTGTATTCCTCAACATATTCTTGTAGATACGGAATTCCAACCATCAGAATGAGCTAACTTAGCCCTGACAAATTAAAGAGAAATTGTAACGTTGCAGTGTTCCTCGGCTGTAGACGAGCCCGTCGCCCTCCTCTGTCTGCCTGTAGCGCCGAGGCTGTGCGGGCTGCAGCGGGTTTCTCTCAGCCTGTTTGACTTGAGCCAGGAGAGCCCGAGAACTCCAAAAAGTTCCTCCGTTGGAGGTGAACGGTGTCAGCAGCGCGAGCAGCCTGCCTCCAGACGTGACGTCAGGAGGGGGGGAGTCTACACGCCAACCCCGAGAACGTTTGCTTCGAGTTTCTCGGGCCCAAGTTTGTCAGGGGACTCAAACCGAAGCCCCCACCCACACAGACTCACTGACTGACCCACCTCAACACCCACACACATTCTCCAGTTAGGCCTCTCTAAGAACATAATGACTTCCAGTTTAAATGACTAAACTCTAAAATAAATAAGCAGACTGTGTTCAACAAATATTACACATGTTAACTGAGTCATCTCTCAGCAGGTGGCACTGATGGAGACCAGATTAGTAATTATTAAAATATTTTTATATCTTTCAGTGTTTCTCACTTGATTAGCTCCATGACCAAGTCGTAAAAAATGTAGTCTGGATAAATCTGGATTTGGAAATCCCCTCTTTGTGCTGTCCATGATCAAATAAGCTGTTACTTTCACACTGTGTTCCCCCCCAACAACACACACACACTGTGTAGGTTAAAGAATAATATATAGAACATATAATAACATATACAATAATTATTATATCTAACATTACTAGTTTTTCTCTCTCTACACTAAATGATACACATGTTGTATTGGTTGACCAGTCTAAATATTAATTATCATTTAATTAATATTGATACTATATATACAGCAGACTAGGTCCTAGTGTACTTGGAGATGTAAACTGCAATTTTGTGGTGCAGTCCCACAACAAATTGTATTTGGTTTACTTCACTTGTATACTGGCTTATGTAAAAGCAGTGTCTGTAAAACATATGCAGCTGATGTGCAGACTAACACTCACCTCACTAATGGTTAAAAAACAAAAAACAACACTTTCATTACTAACATAAACCAAATCAAATCTCCTGTGGAGGCACATTCCAAACTTTGGTGTTTGATGCGTGATTTTTAACTGTGAATCATTAGTTGATTCCCTAACGTGAACCTCAGACATCAAACCTTTGAGACTCATAATGGACTGCTGGACTGAGGAAAATATTTCCAAGAAGAACTCACAGGAAAACAGCACAAAGGATATCTTCTTGTTTCTTTGTTCCTGTGCAGCTTTTAATGCGGGGATAAAATACATGGAAAATGTGATCCACGTGATAGCCTGGTTCTAGAACCAGAGCTTTTTTTGTTGTTGGAAAGCAGATTCCTAAAGACGAATATTGAGGCTACAACCAAGCTTAGCCCTGGCTGTCGGGAACCTCTGTGTACTGGTCTGTTCCCATCTTAGAAATATAAGCAATCCTCACAATTTTTGTACATTTATTCAAGCTTAATGCTTCTTCACATCCTGCAACAACAATTTTGGCAATAAAAAATACTGTTGTCTGGCTGTAAAGTTTAATTCTGAATTTGTTAATGTAGACTTGAATATGTCATGTCAGTCATAGTTACTGTGTATTGCTATTTATGACACATAAAAGAAACTTTTTTGTTACAGGTCATGAAAAATATAGTCAAGTCAACATTGTCAGCCACCAGTAGGTGGCCTCTCTTTCTGTTGCCCCACCCAGTGTTGTGTCCAGTGTCGTTTCCACATTTTCAGTGTCTTCTCTTTTTACTTCAGGTGGTCTTTTAGAACAAGGCTCTGTACACACTACACATCTGTAGCCAAAAGCTTCCCTTGCTTCTCCATTGTTCAAATCTTTTTGTTCTTGTAAATTTCCACCAGGAGCATCACAAAAAAACATTATCCATCTAACGTTTTAGCCTTGAAAGGCTAAAACTAGTTGTAGCCTTTCAAGAGCCTAGTCTTCAAATCATTTGACTAAAAACACGATTTATGACACACTTTTTTTTATGTGAGAGGGTGTCTGACTGTTTATGGTCTTTTTGTCTATGGGAGGCATTATTGTCAAATCTACTCATTTCCATGCAAATATATCCATCCATCCAACCATCCATGCAAATATAAAACATTAAATGCATGTCAATTCCTGACTGGTTGAAGACTTTAATAATTTTCCCAGTATCTGCTTTCTTAGGTAACGTCCTAAAGTGTACCTAAGCCTTGTATGGTGTGTGACTTGTTCTATACTTTGCATCTGTAAAAGCTGTGTGACATCACCTGCAGACATTAGCTTCATGAAAAAATGTAGAAAGACTCAGACAGTTGCACCAGACCTAACAAAACACATGTGCTCTGCTGTGGATCAAGGTAATGGACACGTTCCATAAAGAGAAAAGTGAACATCAGCAGACACACATCTGGTTTGGAGAAATTCCATGCACATAGCTGTCTGACAGGTGTAATGCTGTAAATTCAGATATATTCCAAATGTTGTTATCAACTCCTTCTATGCACATGTAGTAGATCATATCTGGATTCAGTCCACCTACTGTGATCTTTGAGTCAGAAAGTATGTGTGTGTTTGAACAAAAAAAAGACTTGCTTATCGAGCAGTCTCTTTTTATACTAACAGCTGCATTAGTCAGCTTATATTTAACCTGGCATAATTTGTATTCATTCTGTCAAGATAAATATTGTCCTTAACAATGTTGTGGGGATGATCTCTTTTCCACAGAATGCTGGATGAAAGTGACAGCATTTATTTCCCCCAGTTTGTCTCCATGATGGCATTTCTGTCTGACTGTTACAATAAATGATCCCAACCATAACATATGATGCAGAAACAACTGAGCATCACGTTGGGGCAGAAAAGCATCCCCCAAATGAAAATGCATTTTGTCTGTCACAACAGTAATAATATACACTGGTCAAAAAATGAAAGGGAAACGTTGTAATTGTGTAAACTTCTGTGATATTAAACTGGTCCGTTAAGTAGCAGAGGCGTTGTTAATCGGTTTTGTGACCATGCTAGCTTGTTTTTAGCACTCTAGTGCCAGAACTCACTAACATGCTTACTGGATAATAACATGTTGTTCAGAAAGACCTGACACATATAATTGGACAAGTTTTCTATATTCCTGCTACAATAAAAATCTCTGTGCTGTCTTTAAGCTGGCCTTTTAAGATAAGATAAGATAAGATAAGATAAGATAAGATAAGATAAGATAAGATAAGATAAGATAAGATAAGATAAGATAAGATAAGATAAGATAAGATAAGATAAGATAAGATAAGATAAGATAGAACTTTATTAATCCCTCGGGTGGGTTCCTCTGGGAAATTCGGTTTCCAAAAAAGCACAGCACCGACCGAAGTTACAGTTACAGAATGTTATATATATATATATATATATATATACACACACACACACACACACACACACATATAAATACAGAGACAAATATAAATAAAATATACGAAGGGGACAAATAGAATAAATAGGAATAAAAAATAAAAATGAATTGCACATTTCAAGTATTGAGGTCTATTGCACCGTTGACTATTTACAAAGGTATTGCACAGTGAGGTGAAGAGGCACTACAGCTTAGTTGTTCCCCCCTCCTTTGTCCTCCTGTCTCCCCTCCCTCTCCCCTCCAGAGAGGAGTTAAACAGTCTGATGGCGTGTGGGACAAAGGAGTTTTTAAGTCTGTTAGTTCTTGTCTTGGGGAGAACCAACCTGTCACTGAACAGACTCTTCTGATTGTTAATGGCCGTGTGCAGAGGATGCCTGGCATTGTCCATAATGTCCAGCAGCTTTTTTAGTGTCCTTTTCTCTGCCACTGTCACCAGAGTGTCCAGCTTCATGCCGACCACAGAGCTAGCCTTCCTGATTTTCCAGCCACTGCAAGGATTTCTTGTTGACAGCCAGTGCGACGCACTGAGGCTTCCGCCCCAAACTCAGCACTCTGAGGCTATGAAAGGATTTCAGACAGTAAATGAACTGAGGGGCTGCACCAAGGCCCGATATACTTTGGTAGATTCCAGGAATTAAAATATTTAACCCAAAGCTAGAAGAATATATTCCCCTTGAAGGCACAAGGGGGAATTAATTTATTTCATGTGCACAAATCCCCACAACCACTCCCTTAAGTGCACCATTTTCCACCACATCACGCCAGTGGACACACAAAGTTGTGGGTGTAACATGATTTCATTATTAACTGATTCCACAAAAATTATAGCAAGGCTGATTTCTTTCATCTATTGCTACATTTGATTGCAGACGTCTTCTGCTTGCTTTGGTGGCATGAGAAAGTTTCACACATTTTACCAAAAGATTTTCCACAACACTGAAAGGTGATACTCAACAGAACCCAGAAACACATGTTTGAGAAAGAGGGTGGAGGCCATACTGTAGAAGTTGTTTGCCGAAACCAGTGGAAAAGGTTTGAGTGATGAGTTCTAGCCATGATTTCATGATAATCATAGATGATGGTGATGCAGTGTTTTCAGATCTTTTTCATCCAAATACTGTTTTCTTAGTTCCTTCTCGCAAGGATGTGACAGAAAGATCTGAGGAAGGGATGCAAGGACAACCATTCAACTTCATCCAGATATCTGTTGAGTGGAGGTGGGGAGGTCATTTTTGATTATTATCACCATGGAAACACATGCAGTAACAGGTTCATTTTAACTTATCTCTTACGGCCTCACAACGATGGACTGATTCTTATATAGTGCTTTTCTACTCTCCCGCAGCACTCAAAGCGCTCTATACAACATGCCACATTCACTGACTCTAAACTGAGTGCTTTTCTAACAACATTCACACTCTGATGGATGCATCGTAGAGCAACTTGGTATCGAAGTCAGCCCATGCAGACTGGAGGAGCCACCAACCTTCCGATCAGTAGGTGACCTGCGCTACCTCCTGAGCTACAGCCACACCACTGTAGTACATGTACTATAGTTAGGCTGCCATAAACCCAATGTGTATTTAGCCTTGCTAAACATAAAGACAACTGCAATGTGTATAAGAATGGAACAAACAGCCCATCAAGCACATGTCCTAGCAGACTGACCAGACAGGGTCAGCATACCAAACAAGCACACTCATTTACAGAATTTCTAAAACCACAATTGTTTCCAGTTGACCAGAAAATAGATATATCACACATGCATATTAGAGTGAGAGAGCACATTTTCACATAAAT